TTGGGCTTATGGAATTCGCACCAGTTCTATAGTTCTGTCACACTGGTAGCGCAGATCAGTCGGCTCTTCATTCTCTTTGCTCTTTGGGTTTTGTCACTCACATACCCCCTATTCGTTCTGATAGACGTCCACTTAGACACAGTGACTCACCTTAGGGTCGCCTTCCTTAATGTAACCTGTGTGCTGTAAAGACTCTGTCAGCTTTTTCTGACCATCCTTTCTCTTCATCACTATTCACATTTTTAGCTTTCCCGGGATTCGACAACTAACGATATGTTCGCACCCCAAACTCATGTTATCCAACACGGCGCAAAATGTCTATTATTTTTGCGTTGCTTTTCTTTCGCATACTAAAGCTTAGTGCGACAGAACACAGCCGCTTTTCGCACTGCATTTTAAGTTGGTCGCACTGCTAGATAGGGGTCGCCTTTGCGTCCAAATTCATTATGGCGTTTCTGCCTGGTCCAAGGCTCAATGAAACGAATAAAACCCACATTATATGCGCAGTCTTCTTTAAATTAATCAGTCGAAAGTGTTTGTTATTCATGTAGTGATACTTTCGTATAACCAGCGGGTAGTAACTCCTCGGTGTGTATCCGCACTTCATGACAAATTTAAACTTTTGCATACTTTTTTCAACGTGTGACATCTGTTATTATATGCTCAGGCTCTCGAATGTAGCAAACATCCGTCTCGTGGTCGTTTGCAGTGGATTTCTGGTGGTATCTTTTCTCAGAGATACAGTACCTACCATTTCGGGTAAACAGTTGCGATCGACCAACCTCGCTGTGTCATATGCATTGATCTTGTTATTTATTCAAACACATTCGTCACTATCCCTGCATATTTCTGCCATGCAACCAATTCGATGATGGTCTACTACCTTTTACCACACCACTAAGTGTTCGTCACCTGGATTCCGCTGACAACGAATTTTCGTCTCTTCTTCAATCTGTTCGTCGCACACATAAGACCCAAGCCCGTTTCCTTACTTCCCATCACTACCACTGTCATTTCGACACCTGTTTTAGACTGTCATACCTTCACATGGCCGCGCATTACATAACACCGTCTGACTTGTGCGATCGATCTGTGAACCCCTTCATGAGCATGTTCCCTGTAGAACAGATTGGCTTCCCCATAGATTCATAGCTGTACTTGTTGCATCGTAGAGGTCTGTCAATTCGGGGTGATACCCAGTGTCGACCGTTTGGAACGGAAGGCGGTTTTCTTTTATTGTTGTTTTCGTTACGACATTGAACAAGTCATCTGTGTTATCTGGTTTTGCATGAGCTCTTTGAAAAATACCAAATGAACACTATCACATTATTAGCGAAAAACTCAGTACCACCTTATAGCCTCCTTTATTTGACAGTATCCAATCAGTACTTCACCAGGGAACTAAATGCTAAGCGCGGAAGACTCGATTCTCAGTCGATCATAGCCGTACAACAGGAGGGTGTTGTGCCTTGTTTGGTGATCATAGAGAACAGTGCTGTGGTCTTGAGAAAAGTATTTAAAAGAACGTTTGATCAAAGTAATTCACACCAATTACACTCACCACTATTGGGCAGCCGTTTCATACTGTGCCTATTCGATCTCCCCTTTTTAACTCTCTTGTTTCATCCCAGATTGCATTTTAGTCATTCGTATGTCTTCCTTGGTTCTCGATTATTATCGCGGACGTGATCCAAGCTGCTCGTCGGCCACACCCGAAAATGCGCCACATCAACCACTCCCGAAGCTATACACTTCCGCCGAGAAGGCGATGATGCTGGCTCGTCAGCTTTATGTGTATCGCTTCAAGCTCCCCTCGTCCGATCTGCCCTCTGGACCCGCTCAGTGCCCTGTGTGCTCAGAAAATATCCTTTTGAGTTTTTGTCTTCGCTGATCCTCCTCCTTCTCAACATTTCATATACTAACAAATGATTGAACCGCCTCTTATTGAATCTGTCTAAATTGGGCTCCCTTGTTAAACTGCTAATCCCCGTGGACTATCGATTTCTAGTGCACTACAGTGAACCACTCGCATCCTCTATGAGAGGATCATATCGACAAATTTGCTTTCCTTATAATGTAAACCAGAGGTAGACTCTTTCTAAATTCTTCCACACATTAGACGCACCTGCATGCTGACAGGCTGCGAGGGTACTGCGAATTCACTGTATTGCCCCCTGTATATCTCAGATTATGCTGAAATACAATGTGATGCCTCTGAGAAAGCCCAGTGCTCATTGCCATGTTATTGGTCCTAATTTCTGGAAGGATTGGTTAGTGACTGATTGTTTTGGACAACATTCCTTGGCGAATAGCGGCGCCATTTATTACCGTGGAAACCCAGGGAGCGCAGAATGTTGTTTGTTGTCAAAGAGTATCCACTATCTACAGTAAACTTGATCACTTACGCGATGCCACTCATCTGTGTGCTGCTGCGCACTACCACTGATGTTACGCTTTTATCGTACGCTGCTTCCGAGATCCGCCCTGGTGCGCCTCGGTCTGTAGTCTATAGTCCATAATTGATTTCTTGCCATCTGATTTAGCCGTTTCGACCATGATACCAGCTCTTTCTGTCAAGAATGGCATCCTCACTCGTCTGTACATGAATCACATTATACTTGCGCTTGTTATATGTCATTCCTCCTGTGACTAAATTCTTTCCTTAACTGTCCGCTCATTTTCCACGCATTATTCCCGATCTATCTCAGTCCAATTGCCCGAACTCCCATCGTTTAGGTAAGATGAAGTCACGCCTAGTCCAGTACTTCGGCGCTATCACTGTTTGTGGGGCTTTTAAACAAAGGGCTTTCACTGTTCGTTTACCTTAGTTCTGTTTGTCCGCAAATCTACTAATTTTTCAATTGAATATTTCGATCGCAAGAAGTCATTTTTTGTGACAACAATAATAACGGACGTCTACTTTTCGGCATTGAAAGACAATTCCTTCGTGGACCTTGACTAATGCGTACAGATATCGAAGAGCACTCGGAGCTTAGAAAAATTCAGAAAAGGGGAGATATTTCACATCGAAAAGACAGTTTAATAGTTAAACGTTACTTGAAACACGAGAACGCGGTTGACCCCGCTTTGTTCGAATACACCCGATCCACAGGTACTGCGATTCTAAAGCATAACCCTGGACTTCTACTGGGACGCATGTAGGGTATCTGTGATAGTTCAAATCAAGTATAAGCCAAATAGTTCGCTTTACTTTTCGATCGGATTAAAAGAATCATATCAAGATAGCCTCTGACATTTCTCCCACTTCTTATACTCTGTAACACAGTTCGAACTAATTGGAAAAAGGGTGTGTCCGGGGGACACTGTATCCCTCCTCACCAATGTTCCGATGAATGGGCTAGGTATATGACGCCCTTCGTTCACACACTCTTTATATCGGAGTTCCGAATATTCGACTGAAATAGTTTCATCCGATGTGCACAGTCAACAATGATGATTTGATGGAACGTACAGGTAAGAAAATGGAGCTCCAGTGGGTTTACTACCATAACCAATACTGATAGTAGTATCTATGGATAATTCAGGGAACAGTCAGCTAAGCGAAGTTATTGATCGTTTAGATTACCACGAGTTCCATGTGGACGATCTTTTGCATCCTGATTAGTCACTGTTTCACGGGAGATAACATTTCACTTTCACTCGGCGCATAGCGACACGAACTTCACTCCCAGATTTGAGCATAACGGAAAACGTCGTCCTTAAATGTACATTTGAGCAGAAGCTTATGTGGATTCGTCTAGCGGAGCGTCCGCAGAACGGCCAATGTATAAGCTTTGTTCCGCTAAATCAGAAAACAGTACGTGACGCCTACTCGGAAGTAAGAGAAGGATATGTAGCGAGGACGCTGTTCTGGACTATGTAGACTTCATATGATACCTGTCCGAGAGAAATGTCTACTCAGGGGACTTTGGATGGAGAAGTGTGGAGTTTCTACACAGAAAGAAACTAGTGCAATTGTCGTTCCTGTTTAAAGGGGGCGAGATAACAGGAGCGATATCCAGAAAGCTTTCAGGCACAAATAGGCAAACTCACTGCACAACAACACTGGTTTCGTCCTTGCTGGTACTCTTCAGGCAGAGATGCGGTCCCAGCGATTGGTATGATCGAAGTTAAGTTTAAAATAGCTCCCAACTGAAATTTTGTGACACAATCTAAACATACAGTTGACAATCCGTAACTCAACAATGAACTTTTATCAACATGTATAACGTTATCCACGGATCCCGCTGGTCAGTGCACAAGACTTCCGTAGTTCACTCTTAGCTCCGTTTATATTTACCTGAAGAATCCAAGGACTAAGTCGGTCGTAGATCACCAAAACCGAAATATCTTCACTAGTATATTGGTATCTACCACTTTTTCGCATATGCATTGGTCAGCACGACCCCTCAGCCGTTTTGCTCCAAACTAGAGTACACCAAATCACTTTCCTTGCTGAAGTTACTACTGTTATTTGCAGACTTTGTAAGGCTATTCTTACCTCGCGTTTTTCATTTTCTTAACACACTCTTCAGATCGATGTATGCAAACACTGGAGCCCCTTACGGATACCTTCTTTCGACAGTGTGAACGATGTCTTCGGATAGCTGTCTGGATTTCTCCCACTAGTAAGATGTAATAAGGATCATCAGTCTTGCACTTGTTTTACCGCTTTTCCGTCATCATTCCTAACTCCCGCACTCCCCAGACAACGTTTCGTCACACTTTCGACTTGTGCTCATCGGCTCTCTTTCCAGGTCATGTTTCCTCATGGCACATGTCCGCCGTTCATCCGATGTGTGTTTACTGCGACTCTTCGCTTACCTGGAAGGAATTGTGATGCTCAATGTCAGTGGTCAAATTTGTTCTTATTCTTTATCAGAAATGTGTAACTCACTGTCTTGGAAAATAAAACTCCGTCGTTCACTAGAACCGTACGCTTTTCGGGACTGACCGTCGTGATTCTCCGATTCGCCTGAATCGATATCATCCTTTACAGGATGGATATTTTTGTCGATGAAACAACGAAGAATGCACGTTACGAGAAAGTTTGCTACCTTGGTGAGGGCCAGTTCGCGAATGTGTTTCTAGCTCGAGACCTTAACCGTGGCGGACACTTGGTTGCCGTGAAAAAGGTGAGCGGGTTCGATTTCCATTAGTGAGCTTGCTTGGCGTAACTAACTGTTGGTTGTATTTCTTCATTGTCTTCACATTTGCTCATAGGCGCCATTTGAGTTTCATCCTGTCCTCCTAACCGTCTTTTAATCCGCTTTATCGACTCTATATGCCGGTATATGCCTTGAATGCGGATTTTACCTCACCCTCTTATTTGACTTTCGCCAAAAAGTGCTACTCCGGCTTTCCTGTATCCAGGCGATAGTATGCAATTAGGTACAACGAAGTGAGATTTTGTTCCTACTTGTCTCACTCCACGCCATCATCTTTCAGTCATTTGGTACTTGCCTGCAAACTCCTGACCTTGGTTCGACGTGTATTTGTAGCTGAGAAGATAGCCGCGTCGTGTTTCTTAATAACGCGTTCCGTATGCCATCTAAGATGGTGAACCTGAATCAGCTATTGTCCCATTTCTTCTAAACATGCTTGGATAAACAAATAGTGCCTAACATGTAGAAACAGGGTCTAATCACGACAATTTTCAGCAGTGACAATCGCTCGGAACCCAACAACTACTGCCCAGTGGTGCTCCTCTATTTACTTTCAAAGATGACGGAGGTAATCATTGCTGAGGCTTTAGTCGACCATCTAGAAATCTACAGCATCATAGCACTGGAGCAACATGGTTTCCGCCAACACCGTTCATATACGACCAACTTACTGATTGCACGCAGTAGTGAGACGGAAGTGGCAAACAAAGATGCAGGGAGCGATGTGTTTTACTTCAAATTCTCCAAAACCTTCGACCGCCTGGATCACCGCATTCGGCTTCACAAGATGGCAGGCTACGGTTTCGGGAATGTTGTCCACAAGCATCAGTGCTGGGGCCAGGTGCGGGCGATCGGCGTCCAAGTTTATCACGATGCACTTCAGTGGGACCTGGCCAGTGCGTATGTGGCCATTCCATAATTTGTTCTAGTTTAATTCATCTAAATGTAAGGTGGTCTACATTCATCATCAGGCGAATATCGAATACAAAGTTGGAGACCACATCCGGCAAGCAATCACCCAGGAGCGCGACATTGAGGTTAGTAGAGAGGTAAGCGGAGCTAATGTCGAGATACGAGGTCGCGCACAGCCTTACCGCGGAGCACGTGAGCTGTCTGCTGCATGCGAAGGTCATCAACACGAGCGTGGAACGACCTTCGACTGTTTTGCCAAATTTGGGTATCCGGTGCAAACTGATTGGCCAGCAAATACAAGCCCGAGTCAACGGAGGCGAACCATTCTGCCAAATATGGAAAATCCGTGGGACGGAATTAATTCACATTAGCTGAGAGCCAAACGCTTCCAAAATTAGTATGTTTCGGTCACCAATAGATAGAACTGACATATCATGTAGAACAGACTCCCTGTTTACCGAGCTTTGGCCTTCTGTATCCCGTCGGTTGGTTGGGCGCGTGATTGAGCAATCAGGCGATCGTAGTCTCGCAGGCGCAGAATAGCAGCAGTACGAAGGTAGCTTTACAACAAAGGTATTAATCCAGGCTGGTCTAGGCTGATCATAACAGTCTGAGAAAGCGTCAAAGGTTGGGAACTAACACTGACATGCTGCGGACTATCTTCTGGTGGTTTGATACATCTGTCTATCCGCATCCACTTAACACACACGTGCGGCATCATGTGAAATGTGCGATCCAGGCCTGGCAGCAATGGCACAAGCAAGATCTTGCAGCACTCGAGACTCAACATCGAAGAGCCACCAGAAACCTCATTGTTCCAGCTTGCATAACAAATTAGGCAATGGACCCAAGATTGTACAGCGGTCGGTATCGGCGCCTACGGGGCGTCCTGATAATGACCTGCCAGATTCTGAGAAACCCTAACCATATCTTCCGCTACCTACTGCAACTTAGTCAATATGAACCTGAGAGGCCACCAGTTTAAGTTGGCCACACAATACAGCCGCCGGCTAGGATGTCGCCGAAACTGTTAATCTCTTCATGTCTACCAGCCATGGGACGCCCCTAGAAATCATCTTGTCTTCACTCCCACATTATCTATGCTTATAGAAAACCCCCATCTACTTTACGAAATATAGTCCTTGTACATCGAGAATCGATATAACGTGATAAACGGTGCACCAACCGGCATTACACACAATCGAAATAGGCTCTTTTAGACACGATGCACTTTGAACACTGTGGTGAGTCCACCAAAACGCCTTTATTTTATTATCATCTTTTCTTTTATCCACTTCACGGTACTTGTCAAGCACTTGCTTTCATACCGTTGATACATAATTGTTTAATTGATGCACATCCTTCGGCTGATCAGCGAGTGTTCACTGGAGTCACATCCAACTCCGTTCGTTAAACTGCATCCATGTCACTCCTGTTCGTTACAATTGATGGCTCGACAATGTCATCTACCTTTGGACAAACCACCCGGGTTATTGATAATTTGTGACATCCGTTTGTCTGGTACTCTGTCGCCGGTCGAAAGCAGGACACGAAGGTCAGTGCGATACATAAGGGATCATTACCTCTTACACTATAATCGGGTTCATTTCGAATCAGTAAATCCACTTTGATCCGCATGCAAGGTCGCGGTAGATCCGACTGCTTCGATTCTCATCATCAAACTAACGATAACACTGATGATAATAATCGAAGAACAACAGACGAAAGTTTCAACAACGCGATCTTTACACGGGATGGTCAAATGCAAGAGCCCTGCTGTTTTCGAGCCTACTCCCCTTCCCACGAAGTTTCTAACCATTGATCAAGTAGTCTGCTCATCAGTCAAGTGAAGTTTTTCCGGAGGGTCAGCGAAGCACATACAGCTGTTCGCACGGACCTGCGCGTAATCAGACATTTTTGATGAAACCTTCTCCCCATCTAAAACGGATTACGATACTATCGACTTGAGACCAGGTAGCGAAACGTCCGTTCGTGTGTCTGTAATTAATTCTTGAGAAAAATGGATGGTCTTCTTCGCATAATGTGATTGGGGACCAACCTGATAGTACTCAAATGGCGATAAACAGAAAACCCGTTCATCGAACCGCCGGCTAGAGCGGCCTTCGAAATATCGGCTTCACTTGAAAGGTCAAAATAGCTATACACATCATTCTTGACGCGACCGCAGCCGTAAACAGTTGGAGATATCACACGCAAGCTGCGTCTTAGTGACGTCCGCAACGCTTCAGTTTTGCTGCTAAATTCCGCACTGACGCTGACTGAGTTCGTTGCAACTGCTTCTCTGTACACAGAAAGGCTCATATGGTATTTGGCTGTGTGTGCACTTACCCGATCCATCGCAATGAGGCTGGACCTTACCGTGGTGCGATGGTTTGTGTGCCTCAGCGATCCATTGAGCTATGCTGGGTGGTGCTTTTGCACCTTCAGAGTCACTCATACCAGATTGGTCAATGGTTAGAGGCCAGACAAACTCAGCCTCTTGGTCCTCCAGCTTGGGGGTTGGAATGCGGGTGGCTCCTTATTCCTTAAGACGGACTCCTTGTAGCCCACCGCCAAACCCGCTGCCTTGCGGTCAGCTTTTGAACCGAAGGCTTTGGTTGAGAACCCTAATCGTTCTCCTGTCTAGGCCTGGGCAACCTGACAGTATCCTACCCACGCAATACCATGAATATTATCTCAAACAAATTGCTGATGCTCTGGCCACCGCAGAGGATAATCAACGGTGCCCTATCTGCTGCATCGAGCAGGGTGGAGAGGGGCTTGGATGCTACTGCTCAAGCCTTCCCGTCTTCTCATTCCCCTTCTTACGCTTTTTCACTCTTACCGTCCCTTTCCAACTTCACTTTTATCCCCCTGTTTTCAACCCCCAATTCTCGGCTCTCCGCTAACATGCTTTGCTAGGCATTTGTCTTTTAGTTTCAACTCACATCTGAACGCGGAGCATCACTCCTCTCCTGTCGACAAGCCCATGTCCAACCAAGCGGTCCATTCCAGTTCATCGGCTTCCATTTGGAGCCCTCGATCCTCCTTCAGATTGGCATGCCTTAATGTACGCACACTATTACAGATCGGTCAACAGGCAGCACTTGCCCGAACATTGGAGACCCTCTCGATCGATATCTGCTGCTTATCAGAGACCCGCCTGCAAGACTCGAGCTTTGTGATCACTCTGCGATCCCCTTCAGGTGACGCAAGCAGTATTTTCTCAGTGCGCCTATCCGGTGATGATGCAGCTTCGAGCACCGGCCAAGCTGGTGTTGGCATTGCCCTGAGTCTCCGGGCTGAAGCTGCTCTGGTTGATTGGATTCCAATCAGTAGCCGGATGTGTGCGGTCCGATTGGCTGGCTCGTTTAAAGCTTCGAAGTCGCGCGGGACTAATAGGTGTCTATTCATCATCGCTGCCTACGCGCCCACAAACCGTAGCGATGATTCGGTAAAGAACGACTTCTACCGCCAACTGACTCAGCTCCTTCGCCACAGAAGAAGCACGGACACTGTTGTGCTGGCGGGGGATCTGAACGCACAAGTTGGGAAGTTGTCCACTGATGAAATGAATCTGGGCGGTCAGCACGGTGTAGGCTCCCGTAATGATAACGGTGAGTGGTTACTTCATCTGTGTGAAGATGCTCGCTTTTTTCTTGCGAGCACTAATTTCCGACACAGCACCCGCCGGAGGGTGACTTGGCGCCCACTAGCCTTGGACGCAGATCGATCACATTGCTATTCGTTACCGCTGGAGAGGATGCATCCAGATTGTCGCTCGATTTGGAGCACAGGTGTGGACACCGATCATGCACTTGTATGTGCTGACATGCGGATGCGCTTTTGCGGACGCCCACAACGACGCTGTGAGCGCATTGACACCAGCCAACTGACAAAGCCAGCTGTTCTGAATGCGTATCAAAGTACGCTGACATGCGAGTTGAGCAATCGCTCACTGGAGACAATTGATGGTCACTGGTCACATGTTCGCCAGACCTTACTAGCAGCGCGCAAATCCTCATGTGGTATGTCTAAAAGCCAACATGGACATTGGG